CAGTGCATGTGTACTCGTTGGTTGAAGTGAGTTTTCGCTTTGAGTGAGTCACCACAGGGGTAACTGCTAAACTCTGACTTAGTCGAGAATCGTGGCCACTCTGATGTGCCCCCTAATAGAGACGAAATGGAGGGCTGACTGCGGGTCTGTGCGTTGTTTTTTCGTCCCGAAAATGGGGCTGCAAATGCAACAGTGGAAACGACCTCAAAGCAAGATGGCACCAGCGAGGTCGAACACTTCAGCGCGTGATTTCGATATATTTTCCATCAGGATTTGTGTACGTGTGTTTTTGAATCTAAAATTTTGTAGGTTGCACGGAATAGCTTGTCGAAATTTAAGAAATCGTTTAATCAAGGAAAGCACAAGGAGGAATTTCTGCGTTTATTCATATTTTGTCACATTGAAGGTTCCACCGTCTATTTAGGTTCTGATTCATCTAAGTCACTTGCTATTTGAAAAAAATTTAAAAATGGAATCTCAAACACCCCTTTTATTATCCTACCCCCCAGACTGGTTTACTATTCCTAACTCATTGGTCCATGTCTTCAGAACGTTAGATATTCCAATGTTGCCGTTTTTATCCCTACAGCAACGCCAGCGAGGCCAATGAATGCTCAGTATGGAACACTGAATGAAAGATGAATAAAATGTGTATAGCCTTGGTAACCAATATGCTTAACTGTTAGACCAAATTCAGTATTGCAATGCAGGTCCTTCCGATCTCTTGCAAAAATCACATACAAAATGACTACACGAGTAAAGCATACGTTTTCTTTCACTTTCGATTCAAGTATTCATCTATCTAACTATTACTATACTCCGATATATAGTACAATGCAGGAATAAAGTGCATCGCCTAGTGCTCAATACTTATTAAGCCAACGCACAGACACCCTGTAGGTTGTTTCACCTCCAAGAGCGGATAGTTAATTCTCAATACTTAGCTCCCAAGCAGCAGTAGACAAACGGCAAATTCACTAAATTTTAATCGACCACACGTTCACTAGCAAGTTTCCATACACATTCACTTCCGACGATTCGATCGTAGATTCTAACTATGCCCACCGCTGGAACAACAAGAGGGTAGGCGAGGGATCGGGGATTTGCGCCTAACTTAGTACAAACGCACAGCATCTATCGAATCCTATCGCATTCACAATTCCTCCTATTTTGGCCTCCCAGAGTTGATCTCTACTA